AAAAGAAACAATATTTGAACGTGGATCATTTGGACTCAGCTGCTTGGATGTGTGTTTGGATTTGAAAGGTTTTGTTGTGAAGCAGAAAGTTGATGAAGTTCACAGTGAAGACGACTTCAGTCCACCTGAACCTGGTTTCACTCAAACCGCCTTTATTCACTTTAAGTTTCTGATGCAACAAGAAGGAAGAAAAGGTCAAAGGTGAACCAGAGATCGACTCCATGTTGCTCACAGATGTGATGGGATCAGTTTGCACAGCTGTTGTTCAAGGAGAACAGTTTTATTTTCCTGCTTTTGTTGATGGATGCAAATTTGCATCAGAAGATGAGAAAATAACTTTTCTGTGGTTTATTTGTGTGGATTTAAAGTGGAACAAGTTTAAAGAAAAACTAGAGGAGAAACCTGAGCCAGCGTTCTGACAGACCAAACACTGAGGAACCAGAGTTTGCATCGTCAAAGTGACGAAAATCATCTGAATGTTGTGACTCGTTTCCCATCAAATTCCTGACAGGAGAAGCAAAACCTCACGTCTCCAACATGAAGCTGCAACAGGATGCAGAACTTCCACCGAGCGTCACGTCACTCACAGCAGATCAGGAGCCTCGCTCTTCACCTCAACACCGCCTAAAACCTGGGACCAGGGGTTAAAGGTCATCTCCTGCACCTAGTGCAACATTTCACTTCTTATGAGAGCACGTCTCAGTTTAGAGGCCAAAACCAGCAAGAAGCTTCAGAGTTTTCCTGCAACGTAGCTCTGGTCTATTGGTTTCAGTGAGGCTGGTTTTACTGAAGATGTGTTCAGGTACGCAGGAAAATTCAGCGCTGATACAGACGGGACGAGCGACTCCACCTCTGATGATGCTTGGATAAAAGTTTATATGTTCAGATCTACATGAGATGAAACAGTTAATTCTCATCACATATAAGGACATTCTCCATCGGTCACCCTGCCGTCGTTCTGGATTTATTCATTATTTACATCGTCAATAGAAATTGTTCAACAAGATGTTTATCTCTGTTTTAATTTTCACTTATAAAGTCATATCAAGTCAGCTTACATTACTGTTGTTAAATAAGAGTCACTGCAGGATTTTTTTCAGTCTGATTAGAAATTAAATGTCTTGTAAATAGTTTAAGACAGCAGCTTTATTTTATGATTTAAAACAGTTTTTATTACATATATAACTCCAAACATTGAATTAAAATATGTCAGAATATTATTTGAGTTAGTAAACTGTCAATATGATTCAGGAAGAATGTTAGTTTTGTCTAAACTCCACATTAAGTGAATATTAAATGTAAATAATGCAGAATGATCAGGGCTGTAGTTCCCACTATGGCCACCAGATGAAGGAAATACCCCTTTCTGAAAATAGGCGAGATTGTGGAGCTGCAGCTGGTTTCTGGAAATTGTGTTTTATCTGTCAGTGTGAACTAGAAGCGGCTCCACAGATGAAAACATCCCGCAGAGACTCTGAGCGGAGCTAACGATGCTAACAGACGAGCAGCGGCTTCAGGGGAGCTGTGGCTCCTAAACTGGAGCTTCAGCTCCAACAGAGCTGAATCAAAGCTCTACAGCTCTGGTTTATACACTAAGATGCTGAGCTTCCGGTCTGAAGGTAGGAAAATATTTAAGAAAAGTTAAATTATCCTGGAATCAGAATGATGTTGATGTTTTAGCTACAGAGTCACGAACTGAACTATTAGGGCAGGGCGGATTTTGCCCTCTGGTGGATCCAGATGGTAACTACAGCTACTTGAGAAAATCAGAGCGTTTACAAACCACATTCACTTCCGCTGTTACTTTCACAATAAGAGCCATAGAAACGAATTCCTCTGTTAGCTTTCATTTGAAATAATACATTTTACTTTCGTTGTTTTTCTCTGAAACAATAAACTGTTATTCAAGAGCAGCAAATTAAATTGTACTCATTTCAAACTGAAATTATTTTCAGTTCAGAAAAGTATTTAAATAACATTAACAGCAGCCCCATCTCTGACCCAGATCTATCTCTGACCCGGTTCCATCTCTGACCATCCATCATTTTATTTGAGAAAAAAGATTTGACATGTTTTTTTCTTTTTATGTTCATTCTAAAATCTAAATAATGAAGTTTTGCATCATCATTGATTCTCAGATTTAATTTTTCTCAGTTTATTGTGGTTTTTACTTTTTTAACCCATATTTCATGTTTTGAGTTTTAGGACTCGATGTGTCTCATCAGACTCTTTACTGAGATTTACTGATTTACTGAGACCTCGGAGAATCACTGGGATAATGTGCTGATTGGTTCATGATTGTTTTATTTTTGTTTTTTTTAATAATTCTTCTAATCTAATTTTGGTTCCTCTGTGTTTAATGATAATTCAATAAAGTTTTATAAAATGTTCAACAGAACAATTTTTTTTTTCATTTTAGTTTGACAGCTTGTTAAAACAGAAACATCCTGTTAATTAATCTGAGATTTTTAAGCTTCTAATAAAGGCAAAAGTTTATTTTTATGTTATTCAGACTGAAGATGTTTAAATAAAACACATAAGAACCATTTAAATGATAAATGCTGTTATGTTTTTTTCTAGGCTTCTTCGTTAACCTGCTTCAAACAATTAGGGTACATTTATTACCTTTCCGAGTGTTTTATTATAAAAATTGTTTTAATGTTTGACATATATATATTAATAATTATATTTTCAGGCCGTGATTCTCAAAATTTCCCACAGTTCATCTTTTTGAGAAGATTTTTATTAAGTTTAGTTATATATTCAGTTATGAATCCTGTAGTGACTCTGATTTAACAACATTAATGTAAGTTGATTTTTTTTTTCTTGATAAAACTGAATCCTGAATCTTCTAGTTTCTTATTGAAATGATTTCCTGCAATAAAATGTTGGCTGGAAAAGAGCTGAAAACTGAGAAAAACCTAAAAAGTTCAAATGTGACCTAAAGTTTTACAGCTTAACTCACTGGTGATACAAAGAGAAACATGAAAGTAAAAGTGTTTATTGTCACCTGAAAGGGGGAGGAGTCTAAGATGCTTCCAGATGCTTAAAGTCACCTTGAAGGGGGCGGAGCCTCAGGTACGGATGAGGATCAGGACTAACAGGTTCAGACTCCAGTTAGCAGCAGAGCAGAGTCTGGATCTGGTGAGTTTTCACTTTTTCTTGTTTTCTTCTCTCTGGGTTTTCTTTCTGTGGAGGAACCAGAACTCGGCCCGGTTCTCCTTCAGAACCAAGTTGCTGGCTTCATGGAGCTGTGGTTCTGGTCGGTTCTGGTTTCCTGTTAATCAGAACCAACAAACTCTCTTAAAGCTGCAGTTTCCTGTTGCTGAGCTGAACTGTGAATAAATTCTAGTCTGTCTCCTGCAGAGCAACACGTCCTGCTCCGTGTTTCTGTTCAGTTGTTTCATAACGAGCCTCTGATGACATCACAAGAGGCCTCATCTCAGACTCTCCCAGTAAACAGACTGGGACACCAGTGGGTCTCTGATTATGATTCATGTCTGCAAAATCCTCATCAGTTGTTTAAGCCCCACCCCTTTACAGCAGCAGGTAAACACTTGTTTCTGTCGCAGGAATCTGGACCGACCCATTGGTCCTGGTTCTGTAGCTCTGAACTCATTCAGTGTTTCTGGTTGTTTTCAGACTGGAGAAATAAAATGAACGGCACAGGTGGGCAGATCAGCCAGAAATGATTCTCTGGAGTCGCACGACTTCAACATCAGATACTTCTAAATAAAAGTACAAAGAACAGCATCGTAAAAATACTCCTGAAATGCTATTTTCAAAAAAGTAACTCAAGCAATAGCTCGTTTAATACACTGTAGAGTCAAACTGGGACCAGTAGGTCTTCACCAGTTGTGACCAGCTGAGATATGAGGTGTCAGAAGACGGGGGTGAAAACTATTTCTAGATAAAGTTACTCCCATTGGGTTCAAATCAGTCCTGGTTCTGATCCAGGAGGATTTTTAAATGTTTCTCTTTTCTTCAGAGGCTTTTATCAGTAAATAATTAATCTGAAGCCTCTTTATGTTCGGCTGCATCTGAAAACGTCCAACTTCTGTCCAGTGAGGCTGTCAGTCTGATCTGGTGGCATCATCTCATCAGAGTGTTCTTCATGTATATGTACATATATACATATATACACAGAGACACATGAATCAGTAAAGAAGAAAAGTTGCTCAGAGGGAGCAGACTTTTGTAAAACTTTCCTTTCTTACAAATAATTAGTGCAGAATACAGTAAATTAGTCTAAAAAGAATTTATTCTGTTGCAATATATTTAGGTGTACAATTATGAGACAGCATATTGTTTAAATGTGTTGAGTTTTAGTTTTTTTTAATTGATGTAAAAATAATCTGCTTCACTTTCTAACAAACATTTGTTTCATTTCAGCTACAGATATTTGTTTCTTAGATTCATTTCCTTCTTCTCTTTCACTGAATGTTTTCCAGTTGTAAACTTTGTTTTGCTTTATTTAATATTTGTAGAGTTTTGAAGTCAACTAAATGTCTACATTTGGAGTATTTTGGTTTTAAAAACAGTGGATTTATCTGATTTCTGAGCCCAGCATCAAGGATGATTCTTGTTGCTCTTTTTAATGTTGAATTATTTCTAGACGACTCGTATATTAGTCAAAACCTCAGATAACATTGTGGCAGTAAACAATAACCAACAACTTAACAGGTTTTAATTTCCCTGTTCTATAACGATGTGTAGCCATGTTGGATTGTGTTTCCAGCAAACTTTCTGATTCCACCAAACAAAGCAGGAGGAAAACAAACATGAATGTCGTTGATGTTGAATCTGTTGAATCAGTTCATTTTATGCTGCAGATTCTGGAGGAAGGTGATCAGATAAACAACAAATACCTTTCCAGAAATATTTAGTGACTGACAGAAAAGCAGGAAGGTAAATGTTTGTTCTGTTTGCTGGAATCTGGATGGACCTGTTGGTTCTGATTCTGTAGCTCTGAGCTCAGTCACCACTCCCTGATCCTCCCAGACTCTCTGGAAACACACGATGGAGGTCAGTGATCAGGAACAGACAGAGCAGATAATAATAAAGTCAACAATAATCTGATAATTAAGGAGAAGTCTGTGTTCTGATCCAGATGTTTGAATTAAAGATGGAAGCTCAGGAGCTGCAGAACCTTATGTTTTTCTTTTCAGTTCTTCATTCTCTTGTTTTGGTTCTTTCTCTCTGATCAGACGGTTCTTCATCCTGCCTCCTCTGACCCGATGTTTGGATCTGAACCCGAGTGAAGTCCTCCGTCCATCTGAAGGTGAGAAGTTAGAACGTTCCAGAAACAGCAGTTCTAGCCTCTCAGATACAAACTGCAGGTTTTAATGGACCTGCCTATGCTGCTGGTTCTGGGTTAACTGGTCCAGTTTCTGTACTCTGAGGTTCTGCTGTGAAATCATGCTGCTGTTACCATGGTACCAGCTGCTGGTCTGCTCCTCAGGTGATGCTGATGTTCAGCCTGAACGTTTTTACTGCTCCTTCTGACTCTAAGCAGAACAACTTCCTCAAAACCAGATCTGGACCTGAACGGTTCCAGAACCGCTGCTCTCTAACAGGAGCCACTCCAACATGGCAACAAGCCGCTGAGTTCAGGACCAACACTTCACTGCTTCATAGGAAACGTTCACTCCTTCATTCACTACATCTGACCTCAGTCTGGAGGTTTCTACAGACCTGGAGCAGGATCCAGTTCAGGATCCAGTTCAGGATCCAGTTCAGGATCCAGTTCAAGATCCAGTTCAGGATCCAGTTCAGGATCCAGTTCAGGATCCAGTTCAGGATCCAGTTCAAGATCCAGTTCAGAGCAGAAAACAGCATCATGGAGGAGTGCATGACTCAAAGTTATCAAGTTAATTAGTACAAGACATTACAGCAACAGGGCAGTTTAAAGTTTAACATAATAAACAAAAAAGCAACATTACATTGTAGTGGAAAAATAAATAAGTTATAAAAAGTTGTAATACAGAAAAAAGTTACTTTATTTTCTAGTTATGTCTCAAAGGCAACTCTCAACAGGCGAAGGCTTTTAGTCTTGATTTCAGCTGTTTTGATGTTTTCTGGAAGTTTGTTCCAGATTTGTGGTGCATAGAAGCTGAACGCTGCTTCTCCATGTTTCCTGTTGATCAGAACAAAACAAACTCTTTTAAAGTTTCCTGTTGCTGAGCTGAACTGGTTCCAGTATCTCTACTGGTTCTGCTGCTCTTCCTCTTGATGTCAGAAAATGCCGACCTCAGAGACTCACATTTGGTTTTAGAGGAAGAATTGAGCAGAATCATTAAAAACTGGTTTCCAGGATGAAATTGTAGATTCTGGCTCAGCTTTGTGAATAAATTCTAGTCTGTCTCCTGCAGAGCAACACGTCCTGCTCCGTGTTTCTGTTCAGTTGTTTCATAACGAGCCTCTGATGACATCACAAGAGGCCTCATCTCAGACTCTCCCAGTAAACAGACTGGGACACCACTGGGTCTCTGATTATGATTCATGTCTGCAACTTCCTCATCAGGACTGCAGCTCAGAACCTGTTTTTAAGCCCCGCCCCTTTAGAGCAGCAGGTAAACATTTGTTCTGTTGCAGGAATCTGGACCGACTCGTTGGTCCTGGTTCTGTAGCTCTGAGCTCAGTCAGTGTTTCTGGTTATTTTCAGACTGGAGAAATGAAATGAACGGCACAGGTGGGCAGATCAGCCAGAAATGATTCTCTAGAGTCGCACTACTTCAACATCAGATACTTCTAAATAAAAGTACAAAGTACAGCATCGTAAAAATACTCCTGAAATGCTATTTTCAAAAATGTAACTCAAGTAACAGAGTAACTAAGTAGTTACTACCCAAGAAGCTCCAGTTTAATACACTGTAGAGTCAAACTGGGACCAGTAGGTCTTCACCAGTTGTGACCAGCTGAGATATGGGGGGTGAAAAACTATTTCTAGATAAAGTTACTTCCATTGGGTTCAAATCAGTCCTGGTTCTGATCCAGGAGGATTTTGAAATGTTTCTCTTGTCTTCAGAGGCTTTTATCAGTAAATAATTAATCTGATGCCTCTTCATGTTCGGCTGCATCTGAAAACGTCCAACTTCTGTCCTGTGAGGCTGTCAGTCTGATCTGGTGGCATCATCTCATCAGACAGTTCTTCATGTATATAAATATACAGTTTGTGTAGAGTGTGCAATAATGACCTTTTCAAATTTAACCTAAATAAATTGAGAACTTAATGTAACTTTTTACAGTGCATCAGTGTTCTTGATGCAGGAATTCTCACTGTAAAACCTCTGGTGTTTTAACCTTAAAAAAATAGAACAAAAACATTGTGAATTAGTTTCTCTGCTTGTTGAAATCAGCAGAAAGTGAATCACATCACTCCGTCCCTCAGCAGTCTGGGGTTCAACAGAAACATGTTTTTCTTATCTGCGGATCAGAACCGGCTTTATGCAGTCCACAGATTTTCTCTCTTCCTCCTCACTGAGTTTCGTCTTTTTCCAGGTTTTTCTCTTGTTGCTTCTTACAGCAAGAAGAAACTTTGTCTCTTAAAGCTCTGCTGGAAAACTGCATCCAGATCCAGACTGACTGATCCAGAACCAGTTGCCAGCTCAACAAATGAAATTGTTTAGGCTGAAATCAGAGTCAGGAGGTCAGGCTTTTTAAAGTTCAGTGATCGGCCTGAAAACTGCAATCGGTGCATCCCTAAAATAACTTTATAATTCCTTTAAATGGAGCAATATTAATAATTTAAACACATTTTATCAGTTGTAAGAAACTATTTACATTTCAGTTTCTAGATAAAAATGTTGCATTTTTGTGCCTCTTTATATTGAATTTCTCTTCTGAGACGGATCAATTGACTAAATATGTTTTAGGCCTCGCTGAGTGAGGGGGGGCTTCATTCCCTATAGAAGCAGCTGTTTACCCATGATTCCTTGCAGTGGGTCCAGCTGGTATTTACCCATGATTCCTTGCAGTGGGTCCAGCTGGTATTTACCCATAATTCCTTGCAGCGGGTCCAGCTGATACCTCAGCTGGATGCTGTGGTCCCTGAAAGCTGCTTTGTGACTCTTTAGCCGAGAGGAAATCCTGCTGAGCTGCACACAGAGGCTGACATGTTGCTGAGATCCCAGCTGGACCCGGTTCTGTCTGGAGGAGAGCTGTGGACCCGACCTGAGCTGCTGCCCCTCAGAACCTCCTGCACACTGACTCCCTCCATATAGATTTACAGTAGAGTCAAATGTTCACTCCTTCATTCACCTGATTCACTTTGATACTCTAAACACATGATGGGAACCAGCTTTCTGCTTCCAGTTACTGGAACTGGATCACTGGGACTGACTGGTTCTGGTTTCTCTCTCAAAAGGTCCAGAAGATGGAAGATCTGGATCTAAAAGAACCTCCAGGATCCATCAGTCCATCTATGAGGAGGACTGGTCCAAACCAGAACCTCTAGACTTCAGTAATGAACCTGGACCCTCAGACAGAAAGTAAGAAACCAGTTTCTATCTGATTCATGTGAATCTATAGAGATAAAATATAAATTAACTGGTTGATCTCAGTGTTTTAATAAACAGTAACTTAATTTTCTTACTTATTAATTTAAAGTTAGACATGAAGGATGTTGGTCAGTAAATCAGTTTGAATGAATTAATATGGATTAAAATGTTGCATGAAAACAAAAATGTGAGGAGCAACAATTCAGATTGTCTGTAAACCCACTGAAGCAGTGAAACCAGCATCTTCCAGACTGGGAACACTGGCATCAGTCATCATACCAAATATAATTCAATGAAGTACTTAAAACCAGAAATCATCAATGTTCTGAGGTTCTGTTCTGACCCAGTTTCTGGTCCCTGGTTCTTTGTGGACCTTCATGAACATGTTCAGCTCCAGCCTGTTGCTAGTGAATATTTCAGTGATGAAGAAATGTCTTCACAGGAGCAGCTTTAGTGAGGAGGAGTTGTGCTGTGCTTTGGGTCAGAATGTTCTGATGGATCCAGGCTGGACCAGCTGCCCCCAGTGTGTGAAACGACCCAGAACAGGATCTAGACCGACAGCCAATCAGAGCAGCCGTGCTCCAGGTGAGACTGAACATGTCCAATCAGAGCTTCTTCCTTCCAGATCCACGTCTTTAGTTGAGATTTGGACATTTGAGGTTTAAAAGTCTTTTTGTGATCAGTTGTTTCAACTTTTTCCAGCTAGTGGAATCTTATGTCTCGGTAACTCGGCTTAATAAAGTCCTCATTTAATTTGACCTTGTTCAAAAAATTGGCCACAAGATAAATGTACAAATTTGACTTTTTATTTTGTTTGTTTTTAAAATTATAAGTGAAGACTCTTACTCTGAAGGGTCATGTTACAGCATAACATGTCATTAGCTCTAAATAAAACAAACACTTCATAGAATCACTGATGATTCTTACAGATAATTTTATGATGAGGTTAAGGAGAATGAAATAGCAGAAAGGATGGCTAAGGAGAGCAGCAATCAGGTATTGGTTGATATTAATGTTGTGTTTAGAATAACAGAAATAAAGTGAAAATAACAAGAAAAGAGGTGGCAAAAGTTATAGCTCAGCAAATTGTCCAGCTGTTAAAATGGTGAATCTGATCTGCTGTAAAGGATTTTTGTTCTATTTTTATTGGTTATTTCACCAGGCCGTTAAGGTTCTGCTGGAAAATTGGAGTTTACAATTATAGCTTTCAATTTGGGAAGTGATTAAAGGACACTTGGGAGAAAATTATTTAAACTCTGCCACGGAGTTTAAATCACTTCCTGCCCATTAGAAAGTGATTTTGAGCAACCTCAACCTCACTGAAGTCTCTGAAAAGCTCCTGGTTCAAGTTTGAGGTTCAGTCTGGCAGATGATGGTAAATGTAGAATACAAGGAGTTATGTTACAGAAAAGCTTCTTCAGGAAGTGAATAGTTTGTGATTCAAACGTTGTTGGAGAATTATCAGGCAGATGAATGTGAGGACAGCAGAGCTGCAGCAGCAACAGAGGAGTGGAGGACAATCTGGGGACCAACAAGGCTCCTTAAACCATGGAGCACAGAAATCACAAGAGGTGAACTAGAGAAAGATTACTAGAAACAATAACTACATGCTATAGTGAAGAGTTAAAAACTCAGAGAGACAACTAGTGACTTGTCCCCTGTCTGCCAGATCCTGGCTTTTACCTGGATTTATGGAAATATTTTCCCTAATCACAATCTATAGTTTAAAGTATTCTGCTATTATTGTAGAATAATGTAGCCCATATTTTAAGAGTGCAAGTATTGCAGCTCTTAAACTCAAGCAGATTGAAAATGCTCAAAGGTAAAGGCGGCCTTTTAACCGTTTCCTGAATGGGAAGCTCAATCTGAAGCCAACTTCAGCTCTGTAAAATCCAAACTGTTTCCTGAGTTTGATTCCATGAATGAGGAGTAAGATGGTGAACCACAACTCAGATCGCCCTAAAACCTGAACTAACAGGAGCTGTGCCCCCTGCTGGATGTTATTTACATCAGAATTAATATGATTTGGCCATAATTTGGTGCTAAAATAGCAGCGGCCTCAGACGCCATCAAAGAGTATAATTTGATACATGGGTCTATGTTGTTGTTTGTTATATTAATGTCTATTTTTGTGATTCTCATTCCAAGTATTTTGTGTAGTTTTGACTGCAAATATCTCAGTAAATTTGAACTAAGATTCAAATTTATGAATTTATTTTGCTTTGTAATGTGAACATTACTGATGTAATGACTCATTTCTTTGGTAGATTAAAGTTTTTCTCTCCAGATTTCTTTCATAAAGACTGAAAATGAAGGGAGGAAACATTTTTCTGTTTCTATAAGTTCAATGATGACATGATGCAGAAGAGTTGATGTTACTGAAAACTCCTGCATTCAATGACTCTGATGGTTTTGTTCCAACTTTATCACTGAATCTTGTTTTTTACTACAGTTGTCTTCTGTGTTTGAGCAGATGTTGGTCTGCAGGAGGTTCTAGAGGAACATAAGATCAGTCTGAGGAGAAGATGTGAATGTGTGACTGAAGGAAGTGATGAAACAGGAAGTAGAACCCTCCTCAATAGGATCTACACTGATCTCTACATCACAGAGGGACAGAGTGACGAGGTTAACACCCAGCATGAGGTGAAGCAGCTGGAGAGAGCTTCCAAGTTCCAGAACCTCCATGTTTCTGCAATCAGGGTCCACAACCTTTTTAAAGCCTTCCCTGATCAACATGGACCCATCAGAGTGGTTCTGACCAACGGCGTTGCTGGTGTTGGAAAAACCTTCTCAGTGCAGAAGTTCACTCTGGACTGGGCTGAGGGCTTGGAGAACCAAGATGTCAGTGTGGTGGTTCTGCTTTCGTTCAGGGAGCTGAACTTGATCAGAGATCAGCAGCACAGTCTTCTCTCTCTGCTCCATGTTTTCCATCCAACACTCCAGAAGCTCCCAGCAGAGCAACTGGCTAAATGCAAACTCCTCTTCATCCTTGACGGTCTGGATGAAAACAGACTTTCATTGGACTTCAACAAGAGTCATCTGGTTTCTGACGTCACACAGAAATCATCGGTTAATGTTCTGCTGACAAACCTCATCAAGGGGAACCTGCTTCCCTCGGCTCTCATCTGGATAACTTCCAGACCTGCAGCGGCCAATCAGATCCCTCCTTCATGTGTTACCAGGGCAACAGAAGTACGAGGCTTCACCGATGCCCAGGAGGAGTACTTCAGGAGGAGGTTCAGTGATGAAGAGCTGTCCAGCAGAATCATCTCCCACATCAAGACCTGCAGGAGCCTCCACATCATGTGTGGAATCCCAGTCTTCTGCTGGATCACTGCTACAGTTCTGGAGAACATGGTGACCTCAGAGCAGAGAGGAGAGCTGCCCAAGACCATGACTGACATGTACTCTCACTTCCTGCTGGTCCAGACAAAGAGGAAGAAGAACAAGTACCATGGAGGACATGAGACAAGTCCACAGGAGCTGATGGAGGCTGACAGGGAAGTTCTTCTGAAGCTGGGGAGGCTGGCGTTTGAACATCTGGAGAAAGGAAACATCATGTTCTACCAAGAAGACCTGGAGCAGTGTGGTCTGGATGTCACAGAGGCCTCAGTGTACTCAGGAGTTTGTACAGAGATCTTCAAAAGAGAGAGTGTGATCTTCCAGAAATCAGTCTACTGCTTTGTTCATCTGAGCATCCAGGAGTTTCTGGCTGCAGTCTACATGCTCCACTGCTTCACCAGCAGGAAGTCAGAGGAGATCAAGACGTTCCTGGGAGACGAATACAGAGAAACATCTCTAGATGAGTTCATGAAGAAAGTCATGGAGAAATCCCTCCGCAGTCAAAATGGCCACCTGGACCTGTTTGTCCGCTTCCTTCATGGTCTCACTGTGGAGTCCAACCAGAGAGTCTTAGAAGATCTGCTGGGTCAGACAGAGACCAGTCCAGAAACCATCCAGAGAATCATCACCAACCTGAAGAAGATGAACACTGATAGAATCTCTCCTGACAGAAGCATCAACATCTTCTGCTGTCTGGTGGAGATGAACGACGTCTCATTTTATCAGGAGATCCAACGGCTGCTGGATTCAGGGAAGGAGCTCTCAGAGACTAACTGTTCAGCTCTGGCCTTCATGCTGCAGATGTCAGAGGTTCTGGATGAGTTGGACCTGGAGAAGTACAACACATCAGATGATAGACGACGGAGACTGGTTCCAGCTGTGAGGAACTGCAGAAAGGCTCGGTGAGTCCAGATGTTTTCATTGTGTGATGCTGATTCAGCTCTATTGTCCTCCTGTTTCTTCTTCTGTCTTCAAGTTGATTCTGGATGTTTTTGCTCTTTATCTACTTCCTTCATCCTCTGGATTATTTCAGCCAATCAAACATCTAAACATTCAGCTCATCCAGGACAGATGCAGCTTCTGGTTTTAGACATTTTGATCATTTTAAAAATATTTCACTTTTTATCAGTTTTCAGGTTGAAATTAATAGAAAACCCTGAACTCTAGAAAATCTATTTTCTCTAAGATCCAATCAGCCAGAGAAACTTTTAAACTTTCATCTCTTCACTTACTGAGCCGCTGCTCCATCATTCAGATTTTAGGATATTTGACTGGTTTTATTAAATAGTTTTTTAGGTTTAATGTAATTTTAAACCATTAAAATAAATCATTGCATTAATTATAAACTATATGAACAGTGTTGATCTTCATCATCCTCTTCCTCCTCCCTCTAGTTTCCTCTGAGTTTGTAAATGAGACCAAAATGTGGTTTTTGTCGTCTGGTTCCAGAAAAAGTTCTAGTTTCTGTCAGATCCTCCCAAAGCTCTGAGAATCTGCTTCCAGAGCTGGAACCATTTTCCTCATCAACTCTTCATCTGCAGCCTTTGTTGAAGCTGTTAGCTGTCCTCCATGAAGACCTGCAGAGACATGAGCTTCAACTCTGGAGACATCCAGCCTCTTCTAGTTACTGGAGAACTTTCACTGCTTCACCATGAATGCTGCTGGACCCAAACGCTCCGTCTCCTCCAGGGGTTTTGCTCTTCAGCTCTTTAGGAGTTTAGCAACAATTTCTCCTGACATCCAAACCTTTGTTCCTCTGAGACAATGGACAGACCACTGCAGAGACATGTGTCCCTCTTCCAACCAGTTTGTCCCAGTTCCTCTCAGATGGACAGTCTGAGAGGACGGTTCTGACCTGAAGGAGCAGCAGGACCGGTTCTGCTGCTGCTCTGCAGGACGACCAGAACAAAGTGAAGCTTTTAGCTGCAGCAGGTTGACGACTGTCCACTTTCTACTTTGTTAAAGCATCAAATCCAGCAGATGAACGGAGACAGAACTGGAGCATCATGTGTTTGTTCTGCTCCCAGTTTCCTCTGTGGCAGCATTTAATAACCTGCTGCTGGGAAACATGTTTCTATACAATATATTACTATTATTAATGATGATGCAGCAGATATTGGCTAAACAAACCCAGAGATGCCAGAGGTCCACAGCAGCTGGACTTCCTGTTCTGCTCACTTCATTTAGAACTCACTTCCTGCTTGGTGGAAGATCTAGACGGTCTAGTCCAAGTCAGAGCTGTGAGCAGTTCCTCCTCCTCTCCATCATCTCCAGTCGTTTCCTTCATTCAGCTCAGTCAGCCTCTTCATCAGCTGCTGCAGAGAAACTGAACTTTCCTTCACTGATGATAGAAGATCTTCAACATCTGACTGCAGCTGAAGGTCTGAGGACATGAAGCCTGGACCAGAACCAGAACCAGAACCTGGACCAGAACCAGAACCAGAACCTGGACCAGAACCAGAACCTGGACCAGAACCAGGAACTGCACAGATTCTCTGTGGGGTCAAACTCAGTAGATTGAAGATCAGATATTGATCAGATGATGACATCACTGTTATCATATTTAGTCTGTTTATGATCCACATTGATTTCATTAGAACTGAATTTATTTCTTCTCTAATCACAGACTTGGTGGCTGTTGGCTCCAAAAGGATGAATGTAAAGTTTTGGCCTCGGCTCTGAAATCCAACCCAGATCTGACTGAACTGGAAATCGGATCCACATGTATGGAGGTGGAGACTCTGATATGAAGCATCTGGTTGAGATCCTGGAGAATTCAGTCAGTAAAGTGAAGAAACTGGGGTTTGTTTTCTCTGTTTATCCAATGAAATCATTTATTGATATTTTAATCAATAGTTAATCAATTTAATGTTAATATATATTATTTTAAAACAACCTGTTTAATCATTAGAATAAAATCTAAAACATTTGACCTTATTAATTATTTTCTTATTTCAGACTTTGAGATTATTGAACTTTGTTTTTCAGTTTTTCTCTTTAAAATGTTTTTGATGAACAAAATGAGTAAAATAATTGAAATGCTGTGAATGAATGATGGAGATGTTTCAGTTTGGTAAAGATTCAGATGCTTTTATTTCTGATTCTTTACATCAGAATGAAATGTTGATCCTCCAGAGCCACAAACACTGACGAGTTCAAATCCTCATTAACGAACGTCTAAGAAACCACTGATTGTAGAAAAGCAAATCTAGATGCAATGAATGAAAGTGAGGTTTGCAGCAGCAGCAGGTTGCTCAGCTTTGTCCTGAGGCTGTGGTTCTGTTGGGCCAGGTCAGAGAGGAACCGTCTCCTGAGGAATAATGGCCTCCATTGGCTTTCAGCAGCTTTAATAGGAACCCAAAGGCCATTAATGAAGAACCTGACTGGTTCTGATCCAGTTACCAAGTCGGGTCTGATGATCAGGAACCAGCAGAAATAGCTCAACTCATCCAGACTGATAGAAAACTTTGAGTTTCTTTGTTGAACAAATGTTCTGGTTCTGCTGGTTTGGACTCTTTAAACCAGTTTGACTGGATCAGATGTTAGAATCAGTTTCATCATGTTTCTTTTACATTCAGGGAAATTAATTTATACATTTTATTTATTTGTTCATATTTCAGTTTTAACTGCATCCTGTTGGTTCACATCTTTTATTCTTTATTCAGGTTGATTCAATGCAGTTTCTCAGAGACCAGCTGGACGTCTCTGTTCTCAGCTCTGAAGTCCAACCTGACCCATCTGACAGAACTGGACCTGAGCTTCACCAACCTGGAAGGTTCTGGACTGAAGGATCTCTGTGGTTTTCTACAGACTGAAGGCTGCAGACTGGAGAGATTGAGGTATTTTAATGATATAATTATTGATATTTCTGTGAATAATTCTATATAATTGATCATAAATCAAAGTTAATTTCTTCTGATCTAATCAATATTTTCTGAGTTGGTTCCTGGATCCAGAGTTTAAATTAGTTTCTCTGTGTAACTGAGTTGGACCTGCTGATCTGAGGTCAGAACAGGACAGCATTCGGACCCCAGTGTAGAAATCCCCCTCATGTCAAGCAGGTCAAAGGTCAACATGAAATGTCCCTTTATTGAAGATCCATAAATCCCACATTAGTCTTAAATCTCCTGCTATTAGTTGATGATGATCCAGTCCAGGTTCACAGAGTCCAGGTGTTGCAGTGTTTTAACTAGACCAGATTAAAGATGCTGATATTGTGATCAATATTCCCATTTCTGCAGCGTCTCTGATGAACGATTCAGAACCAGAACTAAATGACCCACAATGACATCACAGAGAAAAGGATCAATATTTTCTAGTTGATGGTCAGAAACTGAATCAGCACAAAATGATCAACTTTCAGAATGTGATGATATGATAAAAGGATTGAAATCAACCCGTTTCCATCTGTCATACTGAGCAATGAGCTGCAGTTCAAATACAAGCAGCAAGAACATCATTAATAGATTAATGAAGAAAAACTGGAGCCATAAAATATCAGCAGATCAATGATGGACAGAGCAGTCGGAGAATCCAGAGCCTGGAAGGAAACATGGAGAGAAAAACATCCACTGAGTTTAAGATCCTCAGAAACTTTGAGACAAACTTTGAGTTTCTTTGTTGATCAAATGTTCTGGTTCTGCTGGTTTGGACTCTTTAAACCAGTTTGACTGGATCAGATGTTTAGAATCAGTTCATCATGTTTCTTTTACATTCAGGGAAATTAATTTATACATTTTATTATTTATTTGTTCATATTTCAGTTTTAACTGCATCCTGTTGCTTCACATCTTTTATTCTTTATTCAGATTGAGGGACTCCAGTTTTATCAGAGACCAGCTTGACGTCTCTGTTCTCAGCTCTGAAGTCCAACCCGACCCATCTGACAGAACTGGACCTGATCAGCACCAACCTGGAAGGTTCTGGACTGAAGGATCTCTGTGGTTTTCTACAGACTGAAGGCTGCAGACTGAAGACATTGAGGTATTTTAATGATATAATTCTTGATATTTCTGTAAATAATTCAATATAATTGATCATAAGTCAAAGTTCATTTCTTCTGATCTAATCAATATTTTCTGAGTTTGTTCCTGGATCCAGAGTTTAATTTAGTTTCTCTGTGTAACTGAGTTGGACCTGCTGATCTGAGGTCAGAACAGGACAGCATTCGGACCCCAGTGTGTAGAAATCCCCCTCATATATATATATATATATATATATATATATATATATATATATATATATATATATATATATATATATATTATATATATATATATATATATATATATATATATATATATATATATATATATATATATATATACATACCATGGCGAGCCATTACCATGGTTCGCCATGGTAATGGCGAACCAACCAGACATTGTCGTAGTGGATAAACAACAGAGGAAAGCCGTTGTGGTAGAAGTAGCAATATCAAGTGATTG